CATCAGAAGGTTTTCCAAAGCTTGAGCAGGCCACATACACCTGTCCATGGGAGAAGCATGGGTTTTCCAAATTGCTTGTTGTTTTGTCATACACTATGAGTTGTTCTGGAACCAATTTTGGGAGATTCATTTAAACAAATGTACCTAATTCTTCGATATCAATGTGCGTTTCTCGTTGCAAATCAGGATCTTAAAGGTTGTTTGCAGATCGATTCCGTGAATTCATTTCCAACTCTACCAGTTCTTTGTTAGAGATTGCCAAACATATGTCCTCAATCAAAACCAATGCATCGTTATGCACGTTTGGTGTATATTTAATGTCTGGATTATGATTCGTTCCACGCACATGATGTAGAATGTCTTCACTCATGTCGTCTTTGTATTTCTCCCAAAGACCTTTTTGATTGGATGAGAAGCAAGTTGTCAATATGATTGCAAACAAAGTCGTTTTTGCTGTGGTTGAGCAATATTCGATGCATCAGTGAGCGAAGTGTCCCAATGAGCAACGTTTTCCTAGAAGTTTTAATTATTTTCAAGCTTCACGATTAGTGGCACATACTTGGCCGTTTTCTATTTTTAGTTATGAAAGGACGTTGGTCCATGTACGTTGATTAACAGAATTGCAAGTAAAAGCTTTATGCATTGTTTGGGTGAACAGTGTACAAAAGGCCTAATGCGGGAGCCGAATAAAAATTGGGATGTTCTTCAAATGCTTACCCTGTTTGCGAAATTAAAAACTTTTCGCTGAAGCATTCCATGTGTAATATGTTGGCACATCAGAGTAATGTACGGTTTGAAAATATATTTATTTTGCTTATATAAGAAAAAACGAACATAAGGCTCGTGGTTAAAAACTGAATATTTTAAAACGGTTGTAAATATTTAGAAACCTTTGCGGGCTTGCTTGCAACATCTCACCAAAGTGTTATCGGAATCGGATAAATGGCGTACCAGCGCATATGGAAATTAATTTTTAAAAAGCTCATATAAAAAATACGAATTAAGGGCCACGGCTGAAAACGGATTATTTTATAAGGGTTGTAATGACTCAGTTAAATGGCCGGTTATTTGGACAACAACTCAACAAAGTTTTGTCGTAATCGCATGAATTGTGTAGGAGCGCATACGAGACATACAAAGTTGCAAACACACATTCATTTTTATATATATACATGAAGAAATAAAGAAATTTCAATTTTCCAGGTAACATTTTTAAAAGGATAGCTCTTTTAATATCTTCATTAATTTTTTTCAATCACCAAATATTTGCATGCATTAATTTTTAAAATCTCATGTTCAAATAACTCCTATAAAGAGGAGACATATGATTTAATGAAAGTTTTTTCTCTTGTTCGAAGTGATACTTTTGGTGGAATATTGAAATTGCTTTTATTTTTTGTTTTTGTTGAATATGTGTCATTCTGATGTTTCCATCCAACTATTATGATAATGAACACAAATTTCGGCCTACATGTTTATATTTTATTTTATAAACTTAACCCATCAGCATCTTTATAATATGCATAATGAAGATATTAATTACCCATTCCAATTGCAGGAATATCTCGTGCACCTAAGTATCAACAAAACATATCTACCAGAGGCTACTCTTTTAAACTATTTGTTTCAAGCAGCTTCTGCCCTGGAGTATTGTCACAGTAAAGGAATTGTTCACCGTAACATAACTGCAGCTAGCTTTGCAGTTGCCGGACCTGACTGTGTCAAGCTGAGTGGTTTCCACTTGTCTTTTTTTCTTAAACCCACAGAAAATGAAAAGGTTTTGGGTAAAAATATTATTGGTTTATAATTTGAATATTTTATCCTTAATTGCTTTGTTATAAAATATAGGTGACCTGGTTGAAAAAAAAATATTTAAGATTTTCTTACAATCATTTCTGTCTGGTAATTGTGTGTGGATAGAGTAAAATTAGAATATGTAGTGTATTATATAGGTAATAAATTGCTATTTTTGTTGTCTTTGTTCATGGTCTTAATTTTTAATTGAGTATTTATTGTAATCTGTCCACATAAATTTGTAATGATTCACTTATAGAAAACCACAAATATCTAATGAATCTAAATCATTATCATGGAAAAAAGTTTATTGGTTGTACAAGGATTTTTTTCCTTTGTCTCAAGCAATTAAAAAAATACATAAATATGTCCAGAGAGTGTTTTACTGCGATAAAGTTTTTTAAGTATAGATGAGACATGAATTTTTTTTTGTCAATGAAACAATATATGTCACTCTTTTATTGTGATAAGACAATACACTATTAAAAAAAAATTTTACTAAAAAAGGCATTTCCTGAAACTTCTTATTTTTATATTGTCTAATCATAATTAAAGCTTAAAATGTATTATTTTATTGACACAATTTGTTTATATTTCATTAATCAATGTCCAGAGGGCATGGGTACTCACAAAAAAATTCGATGCTTTTAAAATCCTGACAATTTAAAAATTTTTAATTAATTTCTTAATCAATTCAAAGTTTCAGAAGACAATTGTAAAATCCCTACACGCTGGAGTGCCCCAGAATCTCTGAGGAGATGCAAATGGTCTAAGAAAACAGATATCTGGATGTTTGGTCATCTGTGTTTTGAAGTTCGGACTCATGGTGTTTTGCCTTACTCACACTTAGAACTGAGTGATGCTGATTTTGTAACAGGCGTAGGTTGCTTTTCTAGTTCATCATTTATTTAAATGTTGAAAAAGCTATTGTCAGATACATTATTAAAAAGTATTATTGATAGATGTATGTTACTTTATTTTTTTATCACTGGTATTTAATTATAAAATATTAAATTTTTGTCAGTGGTTAAGTAAACTAATTGCATGTATATTTATATTATAAAATGAAATAACGTTTAAACTATTTATTACATTATAATTTTTTTTTCTATTCAGTCACGATAATTTAAAAAAAAATTACCTGGCATATCAAGCAATTTCCTTTAGGATTTAAATTTTATTTCTAAAAAATTTTCAGATGTTTAAATCAGCCATTGATCTTAAACAAGAAATGTTCATCACAGATGTCCACTTTAATGAAATAATATCTGCATGTGTTACTTTCAACTCGTGTCAAAGAGCAACAATTTCAAAGATAAAAAGTAGACTTAGCACTTTGTCAAGAGGTAAATTTGCTTGATATTTTGTAACTTTATCTGTATCAGCCTGTTACATTTATTTTTGAACATTTTTGTATCTTTAAAATTTTAAGCATGCAAGTTAAGAATGACTAAAATTTTAAAATCTTTTAAGAATAAAAATCATTTTATTGAAGGTAGTCTGCAGAGGTATTAATTTATCAGGTTAACTCATTTTCAACTGATTTTAAATTTAATTGATCGTAATATTATGCATTTTTTGTAATTTAAAGTCTGAATAAGTCTAATACAACCAATACAGGAAAGAATGTAATTTCTTAAAAATTTAATTCAGAAAAGAATATTATTTCTTGACTTTAAAAATTGACATTATTTTTTTTTCAATTAAATGAATCAATTTAAAGTATATTATTTTCCGCTCTGAATTTTAATTGTTTTAATAAATATTAAACTGACATGAAGTCTAATTTCTTGTTTAAGAAGTAAAGTAAAGTCAAAATAAATTACACTTTTTCCACAGTGTAAAAAACATATATATATATAATTTAGATTTGTTTGAAATATAAAAGAAGTGCAAACTTTAGAAATTCAAGAAAATATTTTTCCTAGATATATCATCATGCTTTTCAATTTCATTTTTAAATCAAAGCTGAGAAGAATAGAATGATATTTAAAAAATATAAATGTCACATTTTCAGAATGCAGCTCAGTTGTGTATGGTAACTATCCAGATCTACAAAATGGACTTCTAAAACCATCTACAGCATATAACTTGGTAAGAACTCAAGTTCTTTAAACATTTTTTGCATCAGGAAATTGAAAGCTCTATAAATTGTAGAAAACTCTAAGTAGGTATACATTTTGTGTATTATAAATTTAGTTATGTAAACATTTTACTGCATTACTAGGAATCTTTAAGATTTTTTAAAAGTTTCCTTTGGCGAATAATGCATTAAAATGTGCATTCTACACAAATGTTAAGTTAAATTCTCTTTCATTTCTTGTTCTGTGTGTGCTACAGTCAAGAATGATGCAAAGTTTATTAATAGCAAGGATGTAACTGTAGACTTCTTTTACAGTTCTTATATTTTTATGGGCCAATAACTCAGAAGAATACGAGAAAGGGTTCATGTTTGGGTTTGATAAATAGTTGGAGACCTCTTAAGAATTCTGATTTAGACTTAAACAAGGTTTATCATTTCTGTAAATCAGTCTTTGGCTCTAGAATTATTTTGAGGCAAGTAAATGTAAACATTTGATAATACAATTTTTAATGTATATAAAAAATGAAATGATTAGTAAAAAATCTTATTTAAATAATAATTTTTCAGGGGATCCCTAATGTGGATTGTAAGTATATAAATATGAATTATATTGCCTTTTATATTTATCTAATTCCCTTAGCGAGTGAGCTGAGGTACATTGTAATACAATTCATAAGAGACAAAATTAATTCAGTACATGAAATTCCTTGAAACTATTTTCAAATAATAATATTTAAAACTCATAAAATGAAGTTAATTTGAAAAAAAGGTCTGCTCAAAGTGGTCATTCAAGCTATTTTTAGACGTTTTCACACAAATTGTCTTGAACTCAAATCAAAACGAGCCAAAAAAACCGAACTCAAAAATTTAAACAATGAAACTACACACACACTATAATAATAATTGCAGAAATAAATAATGTTGATAAAAATTAATTGTTTGGAACTTCCTTCTGGACAGAAAAAGAAAATTTTGGCTAAACAAAATAGTTAACGTAGAATCTAAGCACAGATTATTTGAAGTGACTATTGTGCAAAACCATGTTTCGAATACTAAAATGGAGGAAAAAAAAGTTAATTAACGACTTACCTATTTCGTTTTAGGGAACTTTTTTTTCTTTTATGTCATAGTGTATATTCATTTCATGGTTATGACAAGATAAAGTCATAAATATATTTTTATAACTAAATTCAAATATTTTATTTTAAGATGACTATTTCATGAGAAATAAACCGAAGTCTTGCACAAAACCAACAGACAATCTTCGTTTATCCCGAATGGTAATTACATTACATTTTAAACTAAAAGTGTCTAGATGTTTAATGTGCACTTTTAAGGATTATTTATTTTTCAAAATTGATGATGCGTTGGTTGTAATAAGTTTATGGCACAGAAAGCAGGATGGCATTATCATTCATTTAAAAGTTTGCTGTGTTAACATTACTGAAATTCTAATTTTGAAAATAAATATTTTAAATATTCTTTTATACATCTTTCTGTTATAATTGTTTTTAATTTTCTTAGAAAAATGGATTGTATAGAAATGGAATAAATATTTTAAAAGGAGCACATCAATCTTGAAATTCTAATTTGGCGAGGTGCGGCCAGACCAGGTTTGCAATTAGAAAAAATGTCAAAGCCCCTATGATGTAATCACAATAGAAGAACAAAGTATGTGGAAACATGAAATATAAAAATAGGACAATAAAAGAAGATTGTTTCAGCAAGGAGGCTGTCCTGTCTTTCTATTTTAAGCTTCCTCATACCGTGTTTTTCTATTTCTTTTTCACAGCTAGAACGCCGTCCTTTATTTATAAAGTGTAATCACATATGATTTGATGCTGTGAATATCCGTTTATAATGCTTTTTATGTTATGTTTAAACATTTTTAGTTAAAAGAATAAATACGTTTTTTTAAGCTATCGAAAAATGTCCCTCTCCAATCTTTGAACTAGTTCTGCACTATGGCCTTAAGATATCTTATGTCTTAAGATTTCCAAGATTTGTTTAACATATTAGTGTTTATAGGTTAAAACCTTTTTCCCAACACATATTTTTCCTTTTTTAAAATTTTCCCTTTTTTAACATGTTTTGCTAAGCTTACATAATTAAATCTAAACTAACCAACTCTTAACAGGGAGACGAGTACCTTATAAAGGAACTTGTAGACAGAAAATTCACAAAGGAACTGGTTCAGCAAGTAAATAATGGGGCTCTGGATTACTTGCTGCCTTTTCTACACATCAACACAGAAACACAAACAATTGTAAGTCAATCTTAAGTATTTTATAGAACATACATTTTATAGAACATACAAGTATTAAAAAAATGACAGCTAGTGGTTTGTTGGAGCTTATAATAAAATATATAAACACTTATTCTATAAGGGAAGACCTTCTAGATTTCTTGGAGCTAATCTATCGATTCCTCTGAAGCTGAAGTGTCCTGTTAGCATTAATGTCACGTATCCCCAATATCAGAAGTTCTTTACTTATCCAAAAGATTGTGGATCTTTTATATTTATTGTTGAACTTATTTGTTACTTTTTGTATTTGTAGTTGATCAATATCTTTATTATTTCACCATCTTTATTTCTTATTTCAAATATATTTAGCTAATAGTTTGTTCATAATATTAATAAATTATTCAATTGTATGTGTTCAGGAGATTCAATTGCCCTATGCCAAAATAATATGTCTGCTGGATTTGGTTTCACAAAAGCCAAATTGTAAAATACAGAGCCTGATTCACAAACTAGCTTTGATGGTTGATAGAATTCATAAGTCAGGGTTTGTTCTGGGAGATATCAGAGCATCCTTAATCTTTGTGAACAGTGAGTCTGAAGATGAAATGAAGGTAATTATTGTCTGCATTATTCTTAAAAATTAATTGAATGAGCAGGTTTATAGCTAATCACTAGTGATATGTTATCTGCACTATGGCCCTAAGATATGTTAACTACATTATGGCCTTAATATATGTTTGCTACACAATAGCCTTAATATAAGTTTACTTCACTGTCCCTATGGCCCTAGAATATTTTAACTACATTATGGCATTAATATATGTTTACTACACAATAGCCTTAATATAAGTTTACTACACTATGACTATGGCCTTAAGATATGTTAACTACACTATGGTCTTAAGATATGTTAACTACACCATGGCCTTACGATATGTTAACTACATCATGGCCTTAAGATATATTAACTACACTATGGTCTTAAGATATAATTATTAAACTATTAACTGAAGATATGTTAACAAAACTATGACCTTAAGATATGTTAACAAAACCATGACCTTAAGATATGTTAACTAAACTACGGCCTTAAGATATATTAACTACTTTATGGCCTTAAGATATCTTAACAATACTTTGACCTTAAGAGATGCTAACTTGATTATAACACTATGGCCTTAAGATATCTTAACTACACTATGAACTTAAGATATGTAAACTACACTATGGCCTTAAGATATCTTAACTACACTATGAACTTAAGATATGTAAACTACACTATGGCCTTAAGATATCTTAACTACACTATGAACTTAAGATATGTAAACTACACTATGAACTTAAGATATGTAAACTACACTATGAACTTAAGATATGTTAGCTATAATATGGCCTTAAACCAGTGACATAAACAATAGTGCTCATGTGTAACTGTGTTCTTAAAGCGAAGAGTTTCTTAAAATTATTTTTAAAAGTCGTTTCCTTAGCTTAATTTTTTCATTTATTCTCCATTGACCACGAATTATGAATCTGTTTCTTCACTTTAGTTAAAAATACTACTGTTCCTTTTTCACGGAGATAGAGAGAGAGAAAAAAAAAGAGAGAGAGACAGACAGACAGAAAGAGAGAGACACAGAGAGAGAGACAGGGAGGAAGAGAGAGAGACAGACAGACAGATAAAGAGACAGCAAGAGATAGAAAGAGACACAGAAACAAAGAGAGAGATAGAGAGAGACAGTCAGAGAGAGAGAAAGAGAGAGAGAAAGAGAAATAGTGAGGGTGTGAGATGGAGACGGAGAAAGATGAAGAGGGAGTGGGAGATAAAATGAAGAAAGAAAAGAGACAAATTATGAATTATTTATTTTTGGTCAGATTTGTGTACTAATTATAATGCTTTTAATTTACTTTATCTTTCAGTTTCACCCCGTGTCTTTGGCTTTCATAAATTATGTGGTGGATAAAAGGAGACCAGTTGAATTTAGTAAACCAAAAGATCCTGTAACACTTGCACGGTAAGTAATTTAAACAGCGCGACTTTTGACAATCTATGTTAACTGTTACAACCGGCAGCCTACTTATGTTTATTTGGATCGTTCAGGCAGCTTTTGGTTTTAGACTGCACTAAATATTGGTTTATAATTGCTTTACAATGTTTTAGTCATGCAAATTAGTATAATTTTCAAATGATTTCAGAGCAGTTAGAGTCTAAATTTATTTTCACCTGTTGGATTTTTATTTTAAGATTTAAATTAAATTACATCTAATTTGAAAAAATATGAATAGCAAATTATTATATTCATTTACAAAGACAATTCAAAAACAAAAATTATTTACTTGTACAGGGCGGCTCCGGAGGTGATAGAATATGGTCATTATTCTTTTGCAAGTGATGTGTACAATTTTGCTGTTTTGATCCATGAACTATATGACACACCAATTAAAGCTGATGCCATGCATTATGTTAACGATCGGCTTGCAAAGTTGATAGTAAGTAAAAATCATTTAATTTAATGTTTGATCTCTTTGATCAAGAATTTTAAAGCAAGGTCTGGGCGCAGCTCAAATTGTCTTTCATGTCAAAATATATACGTTATTCACACAATTATTGCCAACTGTAAAGTCATGAAGCTGAGAGTAAGACTGACTACCTCCTAGATGTATAGTAAAGGACTTAAATTAGAAATTATAAACAAGAAATGGGTCAAAAAGCAAAAAGGACATATATTTTATTAATATTAATGGTTGCCAGGTTTTCAGGAAAGCTATAATATATCACTAATTTAGACAGATGTTAAGGATATCTATAGTACATCACTAGCCTAACCAAGTTTTGATGCACTGGAGATCGAAAATATTATTTTTAAAACGAAGTGGCTATTCGGACCCGGGGCCGCGAACTGAGAGGTTGGGATTAATATTTAAAATAAAACATTATTGTTAGGTTGTAAGAATAAATTTGGCATAAATTGAAAGATAATTGAATGGACTATATGTTTGTAAACTCACTTCTTCAGCTTAAATAAAACAAACTACCACAAATGACATCCGAATAGGTTGAGTCTAATGGGACCCGGGTCCGAATAGCGGCGATGCGTTTCCGGTTCCATTTTGACTAAATTCTATTCGGATGCCATTTGTGGTATTTCATTTGAGTTAATCTGAAGAAGTAACAACTGTACAAACATATAGGCCATAAATTATCTTTAATTTGATACCAACATTTGTCATGCAAACCCTACAATAATTTTTAAATATTTAAAAAAAATAAAAAAACTCAAAACGGGTCCGAATAGCTGCATCCAATACCAAAATTCTAAGTTCAACAAATAAAATTGATTTTGATTTTATCGTTTAATTTTTGTTCTTGAAATACAAAATCAAATATTGATAAAATATGCATATATTTAAAACAAAAATGTGGCTGCGTTTTTTATCAAGGAGGAGAAATAGTGGGAGAAAATGTTTGATCAATTCAAAATGCATGGATGCATTTTGGGGCTTGTTACTTTAAGAAATGACGTCAGTGGGCCGTTTAGCTGGCGCTCTTTATGCCCTCCCCAAAACACCCCTCCCCAAACCGGTATCAGGCCGCGGAGCGGCACGTCGGGGATGTCCTTTTGCCTGGACAGCCCCCCCCCCCCCCCCCCCCCCCCCCCCCCCAAACCGAGTCCGCTCGACCGAGTTCCGCTGGAGGCCACCCTAACCCAAAGACACCTGGTTGGTCCGACACAGTGTTTGCACACGATTGATTTTCTCAGGATTTGAGATGGTAAATGTACGTCCTAAGTCCTAATATCTTCCCCCACCCATCCCGGGGAAGCGTTGGACGCCCTATAAGAGGGATTCTACAGTGGGTTTTCACCACGCAACTATTTTGCGAAGGAGCTGGCACGAAACTGTTACCTTGTAACAGCTTCTGAAGGCTGGATTTTGGGGCATAAAAAGTTAAATTATTCATAATTCTATACTTAAACTGAGAGTAACCAAAAAGCTCTGAAGGTGAGTCTGCCAAGTCAGCTTGCACGGTCGATAGCAAGTATCGCTAATAAAACAAGTTTAATGTCCATGGAGTTAATTGAAGCTTCAAGAAAGTCTTGAAGTGCTTTTTTCTGCCAACCAGCTGACCGCTTCCCACTGGAGATTTCCAAGCAACAGTCGTCTTGGCATATTGCTGTCAGGCACTGTTGCGACATGCCCTGTCATCTAGCTTTTCTCTTTAGTAGGAGCCTATAGATGCTGATATAATTGTCCCAATGAAACGTAGGAAATTGTTAACTATCTATCCACTCTGCTGTTCAATGTCCACGTCTCACTAACATATTATAATGGAGATGTAAAGACGATGTCCCTATGTACATAACATCAGCTTAGTGACAAGAAATGGCACTAAATACCTTCAGGGAGAGCAGCTATCAAGAAAGAGGCTAAATCTCATGAAGCTAATAGGATAACCACAGCTGAAACACGCATGATGCCTGAAAGAGCAACTTTAGGTCACCGGCATGCCAGCGGTGCCAGATATTTTTCCGAGCACGGATCGATCTAGCAGGCCACCTGAGAGCTCACCGTAACCCACCCTCCCCTTAACCGGATGACTCGATGGTCCTAGTCAACTTCGACGGACGAACAACAATAACAGTGACAAGAATGAGACCCCTTCGCTCCTACACACTCCCGCACAGCGTTCCAACTGCAACATAATGCTTTGAAAATTTGGTTATTGATATCATCTATTGTTGCTGAACTGTTCCTATAGTCGATATGTCAACAACAACACTTTTAATGATCACAGTATTTGCAAGACGCAAGAATATTCATATTTAATTCTTTCACTTCAAATAACTAAGTTTGAATATTACCTACTGTTGTGGGCACTTCTATCTTTTGATACATTTTGATTATTGTCTTGATTAGTAGTAATAGTAACGATTAATGTTTGGAGATATATTATTATTAAGGTGGTCTTATATAGCGCAGTACCCCAGCCCAGGACTAGACTCACCGCGCTTCACATGCAAATGAGAAGTTACAGGAAATTAAACATTTAAAAATAGCAATTTGTAAAAAGCTTGACCTTACCCACCCAAGAACTATCTACTCCTGTCTAGCCATGGACGGCATCCCGCTGCTTCGAGCGTTGTTTATTTGTCGGGGGGGGGGGCGGTGACAATGTGTCGATACAGTAGAGTTTGAAGAGATGGGTCTTGGTGGCATTTTTGAAGGCTGGATCATCCGTACATTGCGGATGTGCAATGGTTTTTTGCGCACTGAACGGGAAAGATCGTTCACCGTATTTTTATGGGACATGAAAAACTTGGTTTCTGACAAAGGAAGTCCCTGACATATTTGGGACATGAAAAACTTGGTTTCTGACAAAGGAAGTCCCTGACATATTTGGGACATGAAAAACTTGGTTTCTGACAAAGGAAATCCCTGACATATTTGGGACATGAAAAACTTGGTTTCTGACAAAGGAAGTCCCTGACATATTTGAGACATGAAAAACTTGGTCTCTGACAAAGGAAGTCCCTGACATATTTGGGACATGAAAAACTTGGTTTCTGACAAAGTAAGTTCTTGAAATATTTGGGACATGAAAAACTTGGTCTCTGACAAAGTAAGTTCTTGAAATATTTGGGACATGAAAAACTTGGTTTCTGACAAAGGAAGTTCTTGAAATATTTGGGACATGAAAAATTTGGTCTCTGACAAAGGAAGTCCCTGACATATTTGGGACATGAAAAACTTGGTCTCTGACAAAGGAAGTCCCTGACATATTTGGGACATGAAAAACTTGGTCTCTGACAAAGGAAGTCCCTGACATATTTGGGACATGAAAAACTTGGTTTCTGACAAAGTAAGTTCTTGAAATATTTGGGACATGAAAAACTTGGTCTCTGACAAAGGAAGTTCTTGAAATATTTGGGACATGAAAAACTTGGTTTCTGACAAAGGAAGTCCCTGACATATTTGGGACATGAAAAACTTGGTTTCTGACAAAGGAAGTCCCTGACATATTTGGGACATGAAAAACTTGGTTTCTGACAAAGTAAGTCCCTGACATATTTGGGACATGAAAAACTTGGTCTCTGACAAACTTGATCATCAAATGTTGTAAAAAGATTTGTTTATTTTTACTTTGGTTAGGACAGATTAAACAAAATATTGGCTAACATAGTGAGGTAATATAAACAATACATTTAATCGGCATCCTTCCGTCTCGTGAGACGATGGTGCATCACCGTTGGGTTTTGTTGCATTTTCTCGAGTGGCTGTGCAGTCCTATCCTTGAGTGACTGTCTTTACCACAGTTTTTACACACGAGTTCCGTGCTTCTAAATGTTTTGGCCTTTCTCCTAGCTCTTCTGTCTGCAGCCTTTTCCATTCTTCGCTCCTCGGCTACCACGACGCCCTCTTTGACAACTCTGCGCCTTGTAGATCGGTCTTTTGCCTAACACTTCCAGTCACTTGTATGTATTTTGGCTGCTTTCATGTCCCTTTGACAGACATCTTTAAATCGCAGACGTGGGCGACCTGTTTTCCTCTTTCCCGAAGCAAGTTCACCATATAGGAGGTCTTTTGGAATGCGGCCGGGACTCATTCTTTTAACATGACCTAGGCATCTCAGGCGTCTTTCACTAAGGATTGTGAACATGCTTTGGGTATTCGCACGCATTAGGACCTCACTATTAGTCACATTTTCTTGCCATTTAATACCAAGGATGCGACGCAGGTATCTCATATGGAAGCTATTAAGCTTGCGCTCTTGGGATGTATAGGTGGTCCATGTCTCGCTCCCGTATAGTAGTGTACTGATGACACAAGATCGATAGACGCGCAGTTTGGTTTTCTCCGTTAGCTTGGTGTTTTGCCAGACCCGTTTATTTAGTTTAGCCATTGTGGCAGCTGCCTTGCCGATTCTGCTGTTAATTTCTTCTTTAATGGACAGTGTATTGGAGACCTTGGACCCCAAGTAGGTGAAGCTGTCCACAACCTCCAAGTTTTCATTATCGATTTTTATGTTAGGTGGAGTTCGAGTGTCTTGGGCCATGATGTTTGTCTTTTTCAAGCTGATTTGCAGACCAAATTCTTTACAGGCATTGGAGAAGCTTGACACGAGTTGTTGCAAACCAGTTTCTGTGTGTGCGGTTAGTGCCACATCATCCGCAAATAGTAGTTCGCGAATTAGGATATCTGTCGTTTTGGTCTTGGCTCGGAGGCGGGCAGTGTTGAAAAGTCCTCCATCAGCTCTGGTGTGTAACAAGATTCCCTCACTGCTATCCTTGAATGCGTATTTAAGTAGTACAGAGAAGAATATTGCGAACAGTGTTGGTGTGAGTACACAACCTTGTTTAACTCCGCTTTTGACAGGAAAGGCTTCTGACTTGGCTCCATCGAACTGCACTGTGCCCTGCATATGTTCATGGAACTCTCTGATGATGGCAAGTAGGTGAGGGGGACAGCCGATTTTTGCCAGTATTTTGAATTGCCCGTTGCGACTGACGTAATCAAAGGCTTTTGTAAGGTCCACAAAGGCAATGTACAGTGGCATCTGCTGCTCTCTACATTTTTCCTGGAGCTGTCGTATTTTTTTTTTTACCCATTCATATACTATTTAATATCACCAAGTGATGGATGTTGACACTTATATCCTCAAAAATTGATTGTTGTCTTGCATTTACACTTAAGTTTTTAAAATAATAACCATACTATCTTGGAGATATCTCAGGTATTTATATCAATTGTTTTTGCAGGTATAAATATAAATCAAAAGGATGTGTTGAAAATTGATTATGACCATTGTTAAACATCGGATTGGTTTGTGTAATCTATCCGCCCGTGGGTGCGCAGGTGGCTGATCAGGCCAATTCTTTTGACCCAGACACAGTATAGCCAAATACTACTCACCCACTGATCATAGTATAAATTGGGAAACTTTGTGAAAGTTTGTGGCTACATTTTTGTTGATCATTTTTTGAACGCTAAGTGCCCTTTGAAAAATCTAGTATTTTAATTTAAACCAAGACATTAAGCAGTTTTGTCTTCCTTCACCAATCACGTCTTGATCTGAACTTAGTTGATGTTCATCGCAAATAAGTCAGATAACTTTCTTGCGTAGTTAAGCTTTCTAAATCAATCCTTCAAAAAGTTAAACAAGAAAAACTCAACGTTGAAAAAGTCAGTCTATCATTAGCATGAAGCTGTTAATAGCGTTGGTTCCGATTCTTGGCTCTCCAGATGACCCAAGAAAACTTTTTTGATTAATCTTTTGTTTGATAGATTAAGAACACAAGTGCTTGATTTCTGTATAGAATCAACTTTACTGGACGGTGGAAAGACAGCTCCGTCTGTCTTCAAACTGTCTCTTAACTTAAATCACTCTGAGCTTCAGAGTCTGATACTACGTTATCCAAAATATCGAAACAGTTTAATACAAATCAGGTACTTCGGGAGTACAAGATGATGTTCTAGAACGAGACCACCATGGCTCACAATGGGTGAATTGAAACACTGAACAAAATTCTTCAGTTGAAGTGGAGAACTAAATGCGTTATACATGAGATAAATAATGCTACTGGCCGGTAACTTTAGGAGAGAAACACACGCCCGTTCTGTGAGCACGTGCTAATGGTGTAAATCCTATCCTAAGTCACCCCACCTGTGGCCAAATCTGTCCGATTCTTGAGAGTAAACATGATGGTCCTCTTTGTTTCTTTTCCAAATAGGGCGTGTAAATTTTCAGTACGATGTGGGGAAGGTATACATTTCCGTAAAATCTCTGTGTCTGTTGCTTGGATACTTTTATCTAAATTCTATGGTTTTAATGGATACAAACGGCTTCAAACTAAAATCTATTTCAGAACACTAGTTTCTAATAGGTCTCATCCATCATATCGACTCACCAGCTGTACTTAAGATTTCCAAACACACACGCCTTCTTCTTTCACAACACATTAAACGTTTCATAAAGATTCAGAACTGTCTCTCAACACCGTTGGGAAGTATGCGTATTCAGCTAGTAAAAGACTAAACGCTTAAATTAAGACGTGTTCATCTTTTTGTACAGTCATCATACAATCTAGTCACAACCCCCATCTCTTACACAACTTACAACACTTACACAACTTACACAATTTACAATGCTTACACATCCCCAAAGACTTACACAAGCCTTTAACATTTACCCCCGTAAGAAAGCACTGGTACTTAAATCATTAGTGAAAAAACATCATCTCCATGTCTTTAACAGGAGGGCGAAATCAAGATAAAAGAACTGAAAAAGCCGACTGCAATGTCTGGGAAACTTTTTCAACTCACGAGGAGATGCTTAGACCCGGATCCTTCTGAAAGACCTCAAGTGGTGGATCTGCTTAAGTATGGACTATTTTAACAATACCTTCTCTTACTATCTATTTGATTAAATACCATTCATTTATTTGATAATCAATATGTCCTTAACATAAAAAAATAATTTGAACGGATTGATAGAGAAATGTGACAGCTTTATTGGTATAAGATAGAACTGACTGAGATTTTTGACACATATATGTGTGTGTAAGATAGGGCTGATGACATTTGGCAGCTCCACTGGTATAAGATAGGACAGATAGGGATGCTTGTCAGCTCCATGTGTGTAAGAAAGGTCTGAAGTGCATATTTGACAGCTCCATGGGTGTAAACTTCTGTGGATTGTGTTAAGCATATAAATGGACAGTAACAGATGTAGTTTGTAGACTATGGTTATTTTAGATGTCTATGCGGTGTATATGTTGTGTTTTGTTCATAGAGGAAGACTTGTGTATATGATATTCATTGTTGAATGGGTGTGGCAGCCGTTAAGGTTAGGCAGATGTGGTAAGTGAGAGATGTATTTGATGTAGCAATAAGAGTTCGACGGGGAGGGTTGAAATGATTTAGATGGTAAAATACTGGATGGAGATGTAGAACGGATATGTTTGTGTGGACTAAACACATTGAAAAAATGTAACTCGTAGACAATTAATTAAAAACGAGACTACATATTATCTACCAATAAATGGTTTTGTAACATGTAAATCTGTTCTTTTAGATAGAAAGGATGAAAATAGAAGACGTAAGATCGTACTTTATTTACTATAGGACAGTGGGTTTAGTGGAGTGTTGCAGAACGACAGAAAAGGAAAATAAGTAAATTAGAAGGATGGAGAAACTAGAGAGCTGGTTTGACTTTGGGGAAGTGAGTGCTGGGAGGTTGGATTGAGTAGTGTTTGAATCTGCTGTGAATAAGATGCTTGTTGGGAATCAATAAGAAATATTTTATAGAGTGTGGGGCTATTTTTCATGCAAAATTAATGAAACATAACATTAAAGTAAAACAAGAGTTCACAGTTAACGGTACATTTGAAGAAATAAGCTTTCCATCAGGGTAACTTCTTCCAATAAATGAAACTTTTGGGTGACATAATTACAAAATCATCAACTCCCTCCCCCCTCACCCCAGGAAATTCAAGTGCTGCCCACTTACCTGGTGAAAACTGTGTAGACCAAATAAACGGCCTTATATTTTTGTAAAAATTTAAAAAAATGAATAGTAATATTAGCTAATGGCGCCTTTAACCGATTACAATTAGAAGAACCTAAGAAATATCGCTAAGCTTGATATATTTGATGATCCATATATTTGATGATCCATATATTTGATGATCCATATATGTGATGATCCATATATTTGATGATCCATATATTTGATGATCCATATATTTGATGATCCATATATTTGATGATCCATATATTTGATGATCCATATATTTGATGATCCATATATTTGATGATCCATATATTTGATGATCCATATATTTGATGATCCATATATTTGATGATCCATATATTTGATGATCCATATATTTGATGATCCATATATTTGATGATCCATATATTTGATGATCCTTATATTTGATTATCCATATATTTGGTTTTAATTTATTTTTTTTTAAAGTTTATCAAAGAGGCAATTTACCCGAAGAAAGTTATAGTAGTTTGAAATTCCATCAATTTCTATCAAATGAATGTTGGGGAATGTATACCGTGACTGTATTTGTATACATTTTCCCGCTGATAAAATTTAAAAAAAAATTTAATATTATAATATTTTTTTTTTAAAACCTGTCTTCCTAACAAATTGTGCAAGATACGTTTTTAAAAAATACCAGTTTTGAAAACACTTAAAAATGAAAATACCTTTCTACTTAACTTTTGTTTCCTTTTGACTGATGAAACTTTGACAATCATCGTTCGACTCATAGAGCCCACTACCATTTTTGGTTTAGTTCTCCCCCACGTTCCGTTGAAAGATGATAACTAAAAGATTTTCTACCTCACATTTTTAAATATTTAAGTCCCAAACTATCTGAGACTCCCTGCAGCCACAAGGGTAGCGTGGTTTGCGCAATGATTTTAAAGTTAAATGACATCTAATCTTTTTACTAGCAACTCATTTTAACTAGTGTAGGATGTTTAATTTAATTCAGGTATGTGATAAAATGAATTCTTGTGTTTTGAACTTATTAAAAAACGATTTGAGCTATAAAAAAAGATTTAGTGGGCGAGAAAGAATTCCTCATTCATTGACCAGGTCGTGGAACTCGAAAGGACAGTTGACCTGTCCCAAAATAGAGAAAGTCTGACCCTAATATAAGTTTATCCGCCATACGTTGTACCCTCACGTCACTCCATACATTTGGCCTTGAACGATGCGGCAGTGACGAAACTTATCCCTGAACATGTTCAGAAAGTGGCTGCCCTTGAGACCATGGTTGAGTTTTTTCACACATAATCGTGAACGTGTTCACGTACGGCTCTGCCAATCCAAGAGGAAGAACTCCTGGTAACGTTGCGCTTAGACTGTACCCGGAAGGGAGACCTTCGGCAGAAGGCCTCTCGGGACCCTGTGGGACTGCAGTATCAAATTTTGATGCGGAGCTCATAGCTATACACAAGACCTTAGGGAGAGATCATCAAACATGCGGGGCTCGATGTAGTCGTCTACTCGGACTTAAGATCTGCTCTCAAGATCTTGGGAAAGGGACAGGGTGCCACCCACTTGGTCAACGTCTTCATTGATGGCGTGTCCAAAATCGGTGAACTAGAGGGCAAGGTGACAATACAATGGATTCCGGGCCACGTCAACGTGATTGGCAACGAGAGAGTGGACACTCTGGTGAAAACCGGGGCTGCCCAGCCTCAGCCAGAATTACCAATAACTTTATTGGGAATTAAAAACTGGACACCATAATGCTTCTCCCAGACCTTTAAAATATTCATTCTTCCGAGCAATAACTTAAATACAGATGTTAAATTCAAGTGCGTTATACGCCAAGATGCACCTCTTGATTTTAGAATAATCACAGTTATTTTTTGGAGAGGACTCTCCAGCCCTCACTTTCGCTCTAGATTCATTTGGCCCTAGCATGGGTGGACTATTCCTATTTGCCTCATTTATAAGGCACTGGCAGGAGCGTGGCTTGAGTCTTAAGTGGTGGAGAAAAAGATTCATTTATATGCACCTCACCTCTCCTCAACTCTGAAACCCATTATTTTAAATCATTAAATCCCATCAAAGCCCGTTTTGACGCCCCAACTAGATTGATGCCCTGGATGCCTGTCCTTCTGCCAAACCCTTAGCTACGCCTCTGGCCACTGCCACCATCCCCGAAAATCTTACTTCCTTCCCCCCCCCCTTTTTTTCAACACTCGTAAAAATTGAAAGAAATACTGGGTGTGTGTAGGAGCTACCAATAATGTGAAATAATTTGGGATCCACTATTATTATAGCATTATATAAAATACAAACATTCATTTTTTAAAGAAGTTCTTGAATCAATTTGTAATAGAATATTTTTTCTCTGCAGTTTCTTTTCCATAGATACAGCGGTCTCAAGAAGAAGCCAATTCATGGATGACTCTAGTTCAGACGTTTATCCTAGAGACAACGAAACCGGAAATAGTGAAGAAGAAAATCCAAGACCACAAAGATCAAGACCTAATGGCAGGCCTAGAACTCCCACACAACAAGACAATAATCTAACCAACAATTTATCATTTAATTTAATCAATCCATCTCAGACTGACAGTGATTGCGAGACTGATTTATACAATCAAAACGCTAGTTGTCAAAGAACAAGATTATTTAGAAAGAAAGGTTTTTATTTGAAGTCAAAAGAGACATCCATTGCAAATAGGAATTCATATCCCTCGAGGCCAAGAAGTACTGCCTTGAAAAACCGCATTAGTGTTGGTACAGAAGGCCACGCAAATGTGACAGAAAGTGGTGATAGTGGGGCAGAAGGATGTGAGGGTGGGGCAGAAGGTTGCACATTTGTCCCAGCGTATGAAGACATGACTGACTCTGACAAATATGATGATATTCTTGGTAATCCAACTCCGACTGTTAGAAATGTATTGTTTAGAACATCTGAGTCAGTATCAGGAATCGGAGTTGACCCACGCGTTGCCAGACAAGGTCACTACGACAGTGACAGTTCCCTCGATGTTGGTCATAGCGACTACTCAGAGATCAACGAGGAAAATCAAACTATTCCGGAAGAAGAGCAAGATGTATATGAGATGTATTAGCGGCAGTTCAAATTTATCACTGACAACCGCAACACGGAAATTTATTCAAATCTGTAACTTGGACTTCAAGTCAATGTCGGAATTTGAGAATGAACGTGCAATAATTTTGTTCATAAGATAAATAAATTATCTAATTTTAATTAAAAATTATTGGGTATAACCATCTTGACATTTACTAACAATACTTGGATGTAAAGTTCTATAATGTTGGCCTATATAAATTCATTTCTACTAATTCATTGTTATTATAAACATTTAAAATTAATAACAAGATTTTCCATTTCTTAATCTTATCTATAATCTAAATGAGAACATCTACTCCAAACATGACTTTTAATTTAATTTCTGACCTGCTCTGAGATAGCATGGTATTTGATGTTTGAAGACCCTGCCTTTAGTACTTTTATTTTAAACATGGGTAATCCACCTTTAAACGATTCAATGAAATCAGATTGTTTTGACCATTTCGAATTAAAATATCCTCATTGGGACCAATTTAAGCTTCTAAGCCAATATAAGTTTTATAAACTGTCTTATGGGGGCGTCCATTTTTTACGTCAACAAAATAGGGGGACGGGGTTTGGAAATGTTTGAAAGGTGTTGACAAGGGGGAGGGAGGGGGTTTAGATTAGTTGACGTCAACAATCATGTTAATAAAATTTTAATCCTAAAAATTGACCGGTAATTACATTATTAAAAAAAATGTATAAGTGTATTAGAGCGTAAATATAATAATAATAATATATAAGTCATATAATTTTTAGGCTCTCAACAATATAAAATTTATTTAATGTGTGTCTGTGCTTTGCAGATGGCTGGTTAGAATATTAGCACACTTTGTTAGAGCAAGAGAAGTCAAAAGTTGGCCTCTTTTGACCTGTAGATTATGTTGCAGGTATGGAACAAGGATAAGGTTCAAGTGTCATGTGCGGTCAGGATAAAGAGCGAGCTTCTGGCAATTATTTCTCACACCTACAATGCTTATATTATAAGTGCTGAATGATCAGATAAGTATGATGTTGACTTGTCTGGTAGAACAATATCAGTGCCGCAAGATGAAAATGATCAATCAGTTGCTATAGACTATGTTCATCAGGGGCGTCATTTCATGCTTTTATCCGGGGAGGTGGGGGGCAAAACCAAAACTTGTCCGGCTTTTTAAGTTGTTTACTACTGGAGGTGCAACATTACATAGCAATTTAAATAAAACCTTCAAATTTGGGGTTAGGGGCAAATTACCCATGCCCTATGAAAAGGATGTCCCTGATGCCCATTGTAACGATAGAGCAACACCTGCCTACTCCATGGAAAGATAATAGCCAGCTTGACTGACAATAATCAAATTTATACTACAAACATAGATACATAGTCTTTAACAAGCTAAAGGTGTAATGAAATGTTTTTCTTACAATTTTGTTGTCAGTAAAAAAATGATCAGCACAATGAAAAATGTATTTATAAATTTATTTATTATATATTTCCTTTTTTTTGGGGGGGGGGGGCGGGGGGGTTATAGAAAATTTGACATAATTAAAAAAAAGGGGGGGGGTAAAAGTTAGACAGTTGTTGACAAGGGTGGGGGGGGGGGTCAAAAGTTGCTTTTAAAATGTTGACGTGATTAATAGACGCCCCTTATTCCTATTTCAATATTTGATTTATTTGGAGGCTCCCTCCATCACATACGGCTCGCACGCGTTCCTCACCACCACAATCAAAAATATAAAGTCCTGTTATTATACCACGCATTTGTTGTCGTGCTAGCGGTAAATAAACACATATAATGTCCAATGTTGGCCCCTTCAAAATACAAGAATCATAAGTCTAAGCCTCTTAGATAAGACCTCCGGAATTCCACGATGTCCTTCAATTTTTCCCTTAACATATGTATATATTTCTTATTACATAATTATTCAAGCTTATTAAGTAAAAAGTTAATTTTGTGTGTGATTTGGCTGCAGTTGTAACAAACTTTTACAAATCATAGTTAAGTTGAAGTCCATTGAATAATGAGACGTTAAACTGGTGTACATTGAATGAGCTAGACTAAAATACTACTTTTATTCGGTCATAATAACATGTAATAAATACTTATTTCAAAGCATTTAATTGTTAACACTGGGCGATGCTGTGCGTAGGTCAGAAGACAGAGACGAATGGAAGAGGATAATTCACATGTCATCTGTAGCGCCCCAACGGTCCAAGGACTAAGGGACATGATGATGATGAATTGTTAACATTAATGTAATAAAATATCAAAATTTCTTGGATCGTTGGGCAAGCATTTTATGATAGTCTCAATTCCAATCGAGCAACATTTTTTTCTACACAGAGCTTAGCTATAAATATTGTTTTGAATATTTTAGTTTCGCATTGTATTAAACATATGACCTAGAATTATCGTTTAGATTGTCTGATAGTCTCATATTATTATGTTTACTTGATGTTAATTCTCGAATCTAACATAACAATGTCATGCATCCGGTATAAAAGGTTACATATGCTCCTACTGAAAAGCATTTTATGTATTTTCATTCATAATGATTTGTAAACGTCTACAGTCCTTGTTACTGAACCTGTGCAAAATAATAAATGTCATTAAATAAATGTAAAAAAAAAACTTCACTAAATTAAAGTTCCACAAAGTTTTATGTGGGAAATGGAACGGGGAGACAACCTTCAACGGGGAGCTTTGAAACAACCTTCAACGGGGAGCTTTGAAACAACCTTCAACGGGGAGTTTTGAAACAACCTTCAACGATTGCATGACAACTTTGCTGTGTAACTTTATAAACTTACTTTAATTGTATTCTCATATAATGTTATTGATTTACCAATTCTAAAAAAAATATTCTAATTATGTTCACGTTTTTTTTTTATTTTCCATTTGTTCAATTCAAGTTACACTTTAATTTCATAGTTTTTTACAAAATGAGTTGTAAGTTATTTCAAACCAATATAGTTTCACTAGAAAGATATAACCGGCATATATTAACGGAAGGCTTCAATACTTTGTACTGTTATTGCGAAGTCATAAATTTAACAATCAAGATTGTATGTCTATAACTAAAAGATAATTACGACAACATTCCAGGCATGTGAAATGAATATTTAGAAAAAGTTAATCAGGCTTTCATTGGTTTAAAAAGAACTATATATATGTATTGATATTTACATTTTTAACATCATTTTGTTTTGAGATATATTTATCTGCAATTTAATGTATTACCACCCATTTTCATGATAGTGTATTCACACCAATACATTGTTTAATATAAACATATATGGTTTACCCTCAGAAATATGTGCCGACTTTTTATCCTCGCCCTTGAACTGTATCTTTGGAATATTAGGAAAACTTAAATGTCCTAAGGTGCAACGAAAATGATATCTTTTATGTTCCTTTTCCAACTTTTTTGGGGGTATGGATATATTTTTGTAAACGTACCCACAATGTTTGAAAGCCATTGAACTCTATTTTTCTAGTATTGGTATAACACATTTAAATTAAAGAAATTCTATGTCACGACTGTAATATAATCGGATTTTAAGATAATCGCCAACATAAAAATGTTCACATCGTTTTTACACCGCTTGAAACATCTTTTTAGAATAAGATTAAATACAGGTTTTAATACGCGTTAAAACTACCTTTATACCTATTCCCAGTGTCAAAGATATTTAAGCTGTGATAAATAACTGTCCTTATAAAATAAGCCGAGACACATTGTGGCCAATGTTCCCTTTAAGGTTTGTTGGTTCGTGTGCAAAATCATAAAGTTGTGTGCACATTTTTACAGCATCAATTTTTTTGTGTGTGCAAAATTGTACAGCCTATAAACACAAACACACACTTAAGTGGAAATTAGCTGCGCGGTACTCAAAACTGCTGCACGGCGTCTGTGAGATTGCTGCGCGTAATTTGTGATCTCGTGGACACCCATCCATAATGTGCCATGTAATGTGTGCAGTCTTGGACACCAAGCCATACTGTGTCATGTAATTTGTGCAGTCTTGGACACCAAGCCATACTGCGTTACGTAATGTGTGCAGTCCTGGACACCCAGACATACTGTGCCATGTAATTTGTGCTGCCTAGGGATACAAATCTAATATCGCACCCAATCCTCCTACATACAAATATTTTATTACGTCTTTAATAAACACTTATGAAAGCAGACCGGTCTTATTAACGCCCCTATTTATGTTGCTCCCGCACACGATGTACACGACCCTAAACTAAGTCAAGTCATAAAGTCACACTGCAGTTTGTTACATTGTTTTTTTTAAAAAAAGATTTTAATACTTATAGTTGCATATTTCTAATAAGTTATTATTTATATTTAAATTAGGGGGGGGGGGTGAAATGTGCTTCAAAAACAATATTTTTGTTCGCACTTCAATCTAAAAAAGAAAATTGCAAAAATTTTAAGCCCACGATTTTAATTTTAAATATCTACCTACACATGTTTTATTATGTTATGTTTCCGAGTTATGGAATATATGTGTATGTGTTTGTGTGTGTGATTAGCACTATAGTAATAGTATTAAGACTAATTATATAATGAACAATGTACATTTATTAATTTTTTATGTACTCTTAATAAATTTTAAATAAGCTGTGTCATTCTAATTACAGTTGAAGTCATTTGGGCAATTTACATTAATTTAAATATCACCTACGCAATAAAACAGAGCAGCAGATGTTTGGGTTTTCCCGAAAAAATGTGAATTTCAAATAACAAAATTATTACTTGGGCGATCTTATCGATAATAAAAATAATATATTTTTTTTAAAAATTAAAATAAAATACATACAATTATTATTATAGCTCTTAAATGTAACATGTTAAATAACTTGTACTTTTAAAATAATAATACCGTAAATTATACTTAAATATATTATTATAATTAGACATATTAATACATAGAGTACAAAATCGCAACTTTGAGCTACCGCTGCTTACATGACCTGGCGCCGTCCTATCTGAAAGAGCTGCTTACGCCTTATGTACCCACTAGATAGCTCCGCTCATCCGATAGTGGCAAACTCTCGACACCACGTGTTTGCCTTGAGACTTACGGAAAGCGCACTTTCGCATTTGCTAGTCCAACAATTTGGAACGCCCTTCCAGTCGATCTCAGAAACAACCAGACACTGGAGTCCTTTAAAACCGATCTAAAGACACATCTATTTCGCAAATACCTTCTGGGATGATTGTCTACCTTATTTTCCAGTTAATGCATAATGGCTGTGTTGCTCCGGGTTGAAATGGCTAGAAAGACTTTGATATTGTATGCTTGTAATTAGTTTTTGTAGTGTTGCGTTTGTTTTAAATGTGGTAAATTATAGATTTGTTTTTTGTTGACTTTGTACCGCGCTTCGAGCCTTTGGGGATGAAGCGTGTTTTTGAAATGAACTTTATTATTATTATTATTATTATTAATATTATATTTTTAGAATATTTAAATGTATTCAATATTTTAAAAAAATATTAGAAACTCCCAATCATTACTTTTAAGTATAAAATCTATGTAATTAATTTGATACGTTTTTAGCATTGTATGGATAACTTAGCACATTTTCATACACTAGAATTTTGAACTGTTGGT